CCCCAGTGAAAGGTGACTAGGGGTGCCTTAACCCTAGCCCTCACCTTCAGGTGTGTTGAGAATAAGATCAGTAGCCAAGCACAATGACCTACTGCTCCAGGGGGAGAGTGAGAGTTCCTGTGAGACCCTGGAACACCAGTCATGGTGTGTGGAAAGGATAACATCAAGGGAGGAGTAGAGGCCAGGTAAGCTTCTGGAAGCACCTGAGCCAGTTGGGGAGTGACTCTGCAGGGCCAGGCATGCTCCCAGGAGCACCTGAGCCGGGAACGGGAAAGGCCAGGGGCCCACTGCGAGGGACACCCATGATGCGTGCAGAAGCTTAGGGTCCCGACTGGGCTTGAGATGGGGCCAGGGCTTATGGAAGCCAAAGGTCCCCATGGTTGGGGGCCACAGCTAATGGACGAAGGCGAGGGTTCAGCTAACTGTCTGAGATGCCATCTGCGAGACTTGGGCCACAGTGTGGGGGTGGTACAGAGCCGCGGATGCCCCCTAATATCGGGGTGCAACAATAGGCAGCCTCCTGCCTTAGTTAACAACTCTTATTAATTACCAACAAGGCGTGGTGAGTGAGACAGGCAGGCAGCGTGCCCAGAGGCAGGTGGGGAGCTAGCTGTGGCTAGCGAGGGACGCCCACCTCACCACAGGCACCCATACGTACAGCCTTGAAGTGTTCTGCCTTTATATATTTACAAAAGGATTACCCAATTGACAGTCCACAGATAAATCACTTCCCTCAGTAAACCCAGCACAGAGCCGTTTTCCAAACTTCTTGGTTCTCCCTGGCAACCCTCCCTCCCTTTTTTCTCTCATGCTCCTATTCTCATTACAGCAAGTGTTCAAGTAAACAGTTAGGTAAGAATATTCTTTCAGCGTGTATTTACACTGGCCCAATCTCCAAGTTCCATAAAGCTTGTAAACACTCCTCCAGGGCTTGATATAATAGCAACTAATGAAAAATGATAGACTGAAATTGTGGGGGGGAAGAGGGGGATATTTCTTCTCTGCTGACTGAGGAATCTAACTTATTTCTATGTACTACAACAGCTAGTAATTTAACCAGTTTTCCCATCTTTCAGATAAGATTTGAGAAAATGAACCCTCAGCATGCGCCCTTCAGAAGAGGGCTGTAAACAGTCATAAAGCAATTTTAATTTACTGACCAACCTAAAATCCAGTCCAGACTACATAGTAGTTACTAGAGGACATAAGTAAGCAAGCGTAGGGTGAATGGTATTTAACTCTAATGCAAGAATAGCACTGATCTTTCTACATACTTCTTTCAAAATATAGGCTTACTAAAGTTTTACGTATAATTGTGCATACTTTAAACCAGGGGTCAGCAACCCCCAGCACACCGAGCACGGCATGCGAGGCCATTTTGCTCAGCAAACCACGGCCAGCCCCGGCTCTGGGTAGCTGCTGCCAGTGACAGAGCCTGGGCTGCTCCCAGCAGGGCTTGCAACGTCTCAGCTGCCTGTTGGGAGCAGACCCGGGCTTCAGCAGCTATCCAGAGCCAGGGTAGCTGCTGGTAGCCACAAAGCCTGGGCTGGGGGCTGGGGCTTTGGGTGGGGGGCACAGGGCAGCAGGGCTGGGGTGCAGGGGCTTTGGATGGGGGGCAAGGGGCACAAGCAGGGCATCCCACCATGTACCCCTTGCCTTCATTTTGTTTTTCTGGCATGCCAGCACCTTCCAAGGTAGGCATTGTGGTTCCTATCCCTGTTTTAAGCTCACAAGAAGAATATTTTTGTAGACTTTTTTTGTAGAAATCAAGATCAAAAGGGATAGAAAGACTCACTTACAGAATACAG